ATTGTACAAACGCATGTCATTCCGGAGTGATTATCTCAAAACCAAGTTCGGGACACCCCATTTTTCTTTGCATTTCCGAAATCAGCATTTATGAATTTCAGGTTAAGCGAGTTTCAATTTTCAATTTTTTTGTTTGTTATTTACCAAAGTAGTCGGCCACCATAAATTGTGTAATCTAAAAGTTTGTTTTGTTGCCTATCATATGACAGCAGTTTATTGAAATTTCGACTACAATATCTAGAATGTTAAAGAAAACGATTTTTATTTAAATAAAAAGATAAATACAGACATATTACCCTGGACCCTTGACCCTACGACCAAACGTTAGCCAATCAGACAGCGAGAATTTGTGCATTTGCCATTTAACTCGCTCAGCATGACTGCAAATATTGTAAACAATTATTTAGTACTCTTCATTACAAAAAAAAAAAAAAAAAAAAAGAGATGAGGTGATACTTTTTTGTGGTCCCTTTGCTGGCTAACACTGGACAATTTAGTAAAACGTCTTTTAATTGATTGAGACACTTGGCGGGAAAGGATTCAACGGCATTGGTTAAAAAAATAATAAGTTGGGTGGCCACGGTTAGGTGCGTAGCACTTAATTATCACCTTGAGTCAAGTCGTTGCCCAATCCTTGTATTACATGCATCATTAACCTATTATATATATTAGGTCATTTTGGAAGTAAGGTAGTCAGCTTCTTAAGCAAGGCATTCGCAGTAAACAGCTTGAACTGTAAATTCTTGGTCGACCTCATTTGTCGCATTTTGCTGTAACAGTTCAATATGACATCGCCTTTTCAGGTGCTTTCGTCTATTCCTTGTGATCTTGCCTGCTTGTCAATAGCTACAATGAGGTAAGTGTGTCGAATGGTAATCAGACTTTGCAGTAATCAGTCTTCCAATTTCGTCTCGTACTAAATAGCTCTGGGCAGTTTAAACCTCCTGTGAGGGGGTAAATCCTTTCTGGCGAAAAGAAAATAGAGTTGCTACGATATACTTCATACAGCGACTAAATTCGTGATATAATTTACTAAAAATTATGTAATGGTTTTTTATTTTATGATGAATAAGTAAGCCAGGAAAGTTTTAAAGAAATCCTCTCACCGACTGTGATTATTTTCCTTCATAGTTAACTATGGTTCATTGCAGCTAGAGACATGATAAAAAATTTCTATAGTTTTWAAATATTTTTTGACTAAAACCGACGTTGAAGTTTGATTAGATTAAAACAAAGGGAGTGTGCTTATAGCCTTACGTAACGTATTGTATAGAAATCGAATAATAGACAATATAACTTAATTTATTTGTGTCAAATTACAGCGAAACCGGCTCTTGCGTTCCTATCGAGGTTCAAAAGGAAAAACACACAAACGAAGTTAATAAGAGTTTAAGCTTAGGAAGATATACACACGCCATATACGTGCTCGATTGCAGAAAGGTTGTAGTATACATCGACAAATACCTAATTAGACGCAGAAAAATACCTTTGTACCATTATTATTATATATTTCGAAAAATTATATTCTTCTATATATCTGTGTTATCCTCATGTATGAGTCAATACCAAAGGTTCCCATCCCCTCCACCCCCGGCAACTCCACGGACATTTGACTTTTTGGAAAAAATTTGGTCAAATTCCCCACCAACTTTTGAGATCGTTTCATCATTTATAGCTTTAATTTTATAAGAATCGAGACTTGAAATCTTTGCCGACTTTGGAATTAGCGTAAACATATTTATTGATTTGGACTCCAAAAGATTATCTTCATCTACTACTCGTTCTGTACTGTCATCCACATTGCTTCAAATTTTGCTTCTTTTTCTTTTTAATTCCAAGCAAGTATAAGATTGTATTTTGAAACCAAATTTCAAGTACCGTGGCGATTCGAGATCGTAATCAATTCGAAGTTCAACCGTTCTTTTGAAAAGAGTGGGCAAAGGAATATAAAAGGAACTAATTCTTTAGTTTTGTTTTTTGTTTTGTTTTTTGTTTTCCTGCGGAAGGGGGCTTCACACCCGCTTTGCCCCCCCTGGATCCGCCCTTGTTTGCCCCCCCTCCCTGGATCCGCCCTTGATGCATTCATGTGTTACTACTTTATCGCTGAAGCATGCATAGTTGAGGGTAAGGGCGTTCATTAAGGTGTTGCTCTTGGTTTAATATACCGAGCTTTAACTTACGAACCGTGAAAAGAGAATGTAGAGTTCTTCCATGCCGTGTGACTTCCCAACATGAAGGAACATTTTACAGTCGAAGGACATGAAGCGTGCCCAGCCAGACTGCATTAATATTCAATTCATAAAAAGATTTTTGGTCGTTCCAATCATTCCGAGAATGAAATCTAATTTAAATCCAAACTTGGAAATTTGATTGGATTACTTTTCAGCATTTGTACAAGTTTGTAACTGATAGAAAAAACGTTAATATGTTTGAGCTGATGATCTTAAAGACAATAGATTTTGTTGAAATTCTTCAATAAAGATTCGAAATCATTTATTGGGTCGAGTGTCTCATTTTAACGGGCCAGCGATTATGCAGATTTACAAAAATAAATCATGTCTCTTACAATAACTTCAAATAAATCAAAATATCTATGACACAATACCACATTTCTATATTGCTTGTCGATAAAATATAGACAATCCCGTTATTTTTTGAAATCTCAAATGGTTAAAAAGACTTAAATATCGAGAATTAACCATTATGCAGTTGGTGATTAATGTTAGGAATGCGAACTTGTGACCTTATTACGATTGCGACATRAAAATAGCCAGTTTTAAAGAAAACAAACGTTACGCTAACGCTGTATTCAAATTGACGCTCTAACTGTTTACTTAGACTTTTTTACTCGCTTGAAAGTTTATTTGATCAAATGAATTGATGAAAAAGGTGCTGAAAAGGACAAAATTCCATGTTAATAGCGCAGCGCATTGATTCTAAAAATAGCTTAAAGATTCGGACAAACATTGCATTCTGTTTAACCGCTACGAGGATTATACGAACCGATTTTATTATTTTTACTTAAAGTTACAATACTAACCCATGTCAACTAAGATCAACTGCGATCGGCTGTGAAAATTATCTGCTGAAAGTAAACTTGTAAGTTTGTCGGAATTTCGCCTTTGTCTTCGTTTTTATGACGTCACGGTTGCGCTGCGCTATTGATGTAAAGATTATAAACACAGCAAAACAGAACGCAAACATGGGTATTTGAGTGTCATTGAGTGGTTTATATTTGTTCAAAAATATTTCTCATGTCAAAAAGCAAAGAATTCCCTGAAGCCTGTGACAGGCCAATGCAATCAGATTTCGAGATTTTATTTGATTTTTGAAAATAATTACGGAATATTAGAAAACGAAGAATGATGTCAAAAATCGAATAATGAATTGAATAAGGCATTCTAGATGGGCACGCTTCATGTCCTTTGACTGCAAGAATGTTAGAATGAATTGAATCAATTGACATTGTTAACACAATTCCTAATCCTGCACGGACCTTGAATCTGATCTAATCTGATTTAGATGAGAAAAAATTCAGTTTCGCATGGGTAAGAGGCTCCATTGTTGTGCCTTCTGTTATGGCTACCATTACGTGATGGTGCAATGCCTCAATAGTTAACTACATCGTTAACCAAATATTTATATTTTTTTGCATACCATGTTATTGTTATTCCTCAGTGATGTCAGGAGCTACTTCGAGAACACCTACGACCTCTATGAAAACTTGTTTCGTGGAATCAAAGGTACCTCAGAAAGAAATCCGCTGTATTAATTGCATATATAAGTGAATAAATAAATAGAAAATATTTCCATTTGATTTGAGTGATGCATCTTGCATATTTTAAGCTTTATTACTTATTCTGTCCTCGGCTTCCATCAAGCCTCACTGAGCCTCACTTTAATTTATGATCATTTTTTTCAGATGAGATTGCTTATTTCAAATACCCGGATGCACTACGACTACCGCTGATATTTTACTACGGGCACACAGCTGCGGTCTACATTAACAAGCTAATGCTAGCGGGTTTGATAGAGGTACTAAAGCCACAAGTGAACAACGTCTGCGCATGCTCTAAGTCAGTATGCAAATTAGTCTGCATGCTATTAGTCTTCTGCTGCGGCCTGAAGTCGAAAAATGGACTTCAAAATGCCAAAACATAAAGTCAATGATTGGAACTTAAGGCTATTTCTCTCATCTTGTCTTTTTCGATACAGTATCTTGGTCTCACAAACGTATACTCACGAATATAGTTTTGTACACTCCGAAAAAAACAAACAAACGAATTCTTATAATTTCTCAGAAAACATGCTGAAAGGCACGCACGCACAAAGGTTTTTCTTTTGTTTCGGTACAAAAATTTCAAAAATTTCCGCAGGATAGGATAGGATAGCCCTCATTTTTCGCGCCAAACCTTCAAAATGTTCATGGCCCAATATAGACCTCTTTACCTTGGGCGTAATGTTTTCCCATTTCAGACCACGTGTTATTCCCTAGAGTATCATTTCTTTGTTTAACGGTTGTGCATGAGAAGACACATGAATATGGATATAATTCAAACAAAGAATGAGTGACACGTGGTCTGAAATGGGGACACATTTCGCCCAAGGTAAAGAGGTCTATTGATTCATTTTCTTTGCATCTTTTTTACAAGGAACGAGTTACTTTCGAGTACGAATCTCTTTTTGAAACGGGAGTCGATGAGATGTCCTGGGATGACACGGTAAGGCCATGGTATTTATTTTTTACTTTTACAGTATGAACGACGACCGTGTGATTTCCATTGTTGGTCGCGGGTTAGTTGTTTTGGTTCGGGTTTTGTTTGGTTGGATTCTGGTGCCATGCTCTAACCAAGTTTATAAAATAACTGTTATGAATCTCGCGTTCTGATTGGTTGGATGTGCGTGCTTTATGAGAGCACACAGCACGCACGCGCACTTTCAATTTCGTCATTCCTGTAATTTGTATTTTATAAAAGAAATAAAAAACTTGCTTGCTGTGCTGTGTGCAGTTATAAAGCACTTGGGGATTGGCAGAACACTCGAGAAGTGTCGAGAAGCACTCCGCTACGCGTTGTGCTTCTCCTAACACTTCTCTTGTGATCTGCCAGCCCCCGCGTGCTTTATAACTGCACACAGCACGCGCGCGC